CCCTCCTGGTCCCGCGAGGAGGTCAACAAGCAGGCGGTGTTCGAGTTCGAGTCGGCCGCCCGGCAGTTCATAGTGAGCACCCTGCGCGTGGCCAAGAGCTTCCGACCCAAGCAGCTCTGGGGGCTCTACCTCTTCCCCGACTGCTACAACCACGACTACAGCAAGAACAAGGAGAGCTACACCGGGCAGTGCCCAGACGTGGAGAAAACACGCAACGACCAGCTGGCGTGGCTTTGGAGGGAGAGCATGGCCCTCTACCCCTCCATCTACCTCGACCTGCTCCTGGCGTCCACCCCCAACAGCCGCAAGTTTGTGCGGGCACGGGTGATGGAGGCCATGCGCATCTCGCAGCAGCACCATGACGGCTACTCGCTTCCTGTCTTCGTCTACACCCGGCCCACCTACATCCGCAGGCTGGACGTGCTCAGCCAGGTAGGGCTGCACCTCTGGGACATCGCCGTCCCGTGCCCCGGCGCTTGGGCTCTGGGGCCAGCCGAGGTGGGCCCTCTGCCCATGTCCCAGCCCATGGAGTGGGATGGCTCTGGAGGTCGGTGGCCACTCTCACAGAGTCACCACCACCCTGTGGTTTGGCTGTCCCCACGTGGGGTGGGGAGCAGCAGCTGTTGGCCCTGCCTCACTTCCTCCAAGGAGGGTCATGGTGTGGACCCCCAGCTCAGCCTCTCTGTGGGTCGATGATGGGGTGCCACAAACTGGTGCCCTCATGGGCAAGGTGCCTGGCAGCAGAACTGGCGCCAGTGGTCGCAGTCACCAGGGAAGTGCCTGGGAGGTGCCGCGGGACCTGGCAGCCAGGGCCCCAGGGAACATGAGCCCACAGCCCCCGCGGTGTGCTGGCTTTGCCCCTGAGGAGGAGGAGGGTGGTGGTGAGGAGCGCCATCCCCAAGGAGCTGGGACAGCCCCCTCTTCCCCTGACCTGGAGCGGGGATGGGTCTTTCCTCCCTGACCCCGCAGTGGGCTCTTTGGGGCGCACTGTGCTGGGGAGCGTGGGTGCTGCGTGGGGTCTGTGGGCACTAACTCAGCTCTGTTCCCACAGATGGACCTGATCTCCACCATCGGAGAGAGCGCGGCACTGGGTGCAGCCGGGGCCATTTTCTGGGGTGACGCAGACTACACCAAAAACCGGGTAGGTCTGGGGTCAGTGTGCCCCCGGGGAGGTGGTGATGGGTGGGAGGGTCACATACCCCCAGAGGGGGACTGGTGGCTCCAGGCTGGGTTGTCCTCTCTGTCTGGGGTACTTCTCTCCCTGGGGCACTGCAATGTTCCCCTAATGCCCCCCTTCCCCCAGGACTCGTGCCAGATCATCAAGAACTACCTGGAGGAGGACCTGGGCCGCTACATCGTGAACGTCACGACGGCGGCACAGCTCTGCAGCACGGCGCTGTGCCAGGGCCGGGGCCGCTGCCTGCGCCAGGACAGCACCGCTGACGTCTTCCTCCACCTCAACTCCACCAGCTTCCAGCTGCGGCGCCGGGACGGGGACAACCCCCAGCGCCCGCTCTTCTGGGCCGAGGGCCAGCTGTCCCCTGCTGACACCCTCTTCCTACGGACCCATTTCCGCTGCCATTGCTACCAGGGCTGGCAGGGCAGCCGCCGCCCAGGCCC